TGAATTGTAGCAGCTAGCCCTAGGTTTACCTCTCAAGGTCCGCTAAATATGATCCACAATCCGAAACACCACATTCTTAGTTAGCTGGGCGTATGTTGAACATGGGAGAAATGAGACAGACGGATGCTGCATGTTTGCAGTTATGAGGTCTTCATCAAAACCAAGGCAGGTACCCTTCATGTCGTGTTTGCATATTGCCTACGCGGGCTCATCTAGAGATGCTTTGGTTCTAGCGCCACGCTTGGGTGGCGGTTGTTGTCGACTGCCGCTGCTTGGTTGCAAGGGGGGGGGGGGCTGGTGCTCAGTAGGGAATGAACCCAGGGATTCCCTTCAAGGAAGCCACCAGTTGGATGGTTTATAGGGATTAGGGGTCATGCCCCCATTCCCTACTGAGAATCAGCAAGCGACCTTACAAACATTGGCCTGAGACCGTTCATGGTTGTTGTTGGGAATTATTTTACATTTGTGCTTATTGCGGTCTAGGGGGAAATTCCCACTTAACTGCTAAAAAATGATTTTTGGTCCCCTTCCAACGTCAACAGAGCGTTGGAGACACGGCCGCCAGGAGCTCTGGACGAAGGTGCTGGTTCTTTGCGAAGAGGCATGGCAGTGCCTCACTTTGGTCTCCTGCACCGCATCCCCTGAGACGCCGCAAGAGAGGCGAACCGCCGTCGCAACCGACTCGGGCAAACACGGGGAACTGGGACAAGTGGGGCCACTGTAGAAATTGAAGGACAGTGGCAATGACATAGTTCCCAACTAAGAGTCGCCAGTTGCTCTGATCTCCTCTTCGGTGTTCTCTCTTGTTGTCATTTTTTATTCTGCCTCTCTTTCTCTTCCGTCATGTTCGCTGTTTCTCTCTCTCTCTCTCTCTATCTATTTTATCTGCGTTCTTCCATTTCGCTTTGTTTTCCAAAAGCAAGCCTGAGCTAGCCAATGCTGGCAAAGCCACCTCGCCAGTTGTTGCTTTTCAAGGCCCTTGCCCGCTTTGCAGAATGGTTTTTCGCGGCATGGCTTAGTGCCCAGTGATCCGGGGTGCTTGGCGGGTAGCTTGTTCCATTGCCTCTTCCCTTGTTTTCGCGGCTCGCCAGTTTTGGCGGCGAGTGTGGCGAAGTCCTGGCCCACCTAGAGCTTGTATGCCAGGAATCCTGTCGTGGGCCATGCTAATGCCTTGGCATTTGTCTAGGGGCTGATTCCCCATTCAACCAGCGTTCTTTTCAACAACCAGCCGTTTTCGCTGGGTTTCCGGAGGTTTTCTAGAAAGAAGGATCCGTGGAAAGAATGGGGAAGGTAGCCATATAGAACTTAATTCACCCAGACTGAGGTATCAAGTCTCATCAAGGCCCTTGTTTGAACCACCAGCTGGTCAAGTGCGCCTGCTGAATGGCCTTTTACACCGTGAAAAAGAAGGAAGCACCAAACTTGTCGGCCTTCCGGGGTCCTCCCTATTCTAGTGCACACTGATTTGCCAGTGAGTCTCGTTTGTCGTGCGTTTCTTTGGGATGGATGGAAGCTGCATGGAGACCACACAAAGGTTTCTCATATCCTATTTAGACATGAGATGACATGAGCCTGCGAATTTTAGCTAGGTCCCCACGCAAGAATAGCTGGTGGACAAAAGAACCAAGGTTCCTCTTTTCAACTTGCTAAAATGAAAACATTGAGGGGTTCTTAAACTTACTTGGGTTCTTGTGAATGCGGCCTCCGAGCCCCACTTCTGAGCGAACATCTGGGGATGCCATGTGGAGGTGCTTTCAGAAAGCGGTGGACGTATTGCTCAGCTCCCCAAGCTTTGCAAAGGACGCCGCGCCGGGCGCCGGGCAAGATGCGAATGTCCATGGCCAGACCAAAGACGCTCATATCCTTTTTTCGGGACCAAAAGAAGAGATCCCCAAGAGATTCAGGGGATCAAGCGCACAGATTTAGTCTGGTCTCCTACCCGAAGCAATCCTAGACCAAGCCCAAACCTGCCCTAAAACCCACCCTAACCCAGCCTACACCAACCCCAAGCCAACCCCAAGCCAACCTAAAACCACCAAGCCACCCCAAATCAACCTCTAACCCAACCCTAAACTAACCTCGAAACAAATCCTAAACCAACTGCGGTCAGGGGGGAGGAAGACCGATGCTAACAAAGCTGCGATTTTCGAACTGGAGGCCAAACTGACCTTCATGTGCTGCGCTTGTGCTTAAAAGTGTTTATTTTTGAGCTGGAGCCCCAAAATGCGTGCGCTGTTGCCTGAAAATAAATGCTTCAAAACACAGCATTTTGGCACCGCTGAGCGAGACACGATTTGTTTGACCCAGTAATTGTGGTTTTAATTGATCCGGGTGTCGATCATTGCTTTGATCTCATAAATATAGCTTTGATCCGGCACCCTTCCTTCTCTATGTTTCTTCCTTATGGTTCGCCACCATTTTCCAGTTCAACCAACAACAACTTCACTCTTCGCAGGGAGCCTAAGTCTGCTCAAGAAACTGCGGATGGACGAAATCCTGCACCACCTCAGAGACCTGGAAGGATGATTCCCCTGTAAATACCAACGAAGAAGGGTTTCCCATGGTTCACAAGTGGTGCAGGAGTTCGTCCATCCACAGTATGGGCCTGCGTTTGGTTTTATTTGGTCGCCCTTTACCCTGGACGAATTGACGCATATTCCAGGGTGCTTGGAGCAACCCTGTTGCGTGTATGGCCAGCCGGTTTGGTGGGAACCCTGCTTCATCAGGCCCCAACATTGAGCTCGGATCAATCATCGCTGGGATTAAGCAAGCACTTTCAAAAGTGAAGGATTCCTTTTCAAATGGGCATGGGGATGGCCTGAGGGCCCCTCCCACGGACGGATGTTGGGACATCCTTCTGCAAGATGACATCTCCATCGCTTCCCTTCCGCAAGTGTGTCTTGCAGAGTATAACAGGGGGTTAGCAAAGATCCGCACTTCACTTCGGGAGGAACGGATCCTTATAGGAGTTTGCTAGGTTCCAGTCAACGCTAGTCAAAGACAATCAACCATGCACAGTTGGCACCGCCACATATAATTGTCAGGGTATGTGGTCGAGGCACAGAATTTCCAGATTTGTTTAAAGAGAAGCACAGGAGGTGCAAATCCTGCGCTCACGGGCTCTCCAATCCTTTGAGCTGGTCATCGACTTGTTTCGGCAGACCCACTACGACGACACCAGCTGCCCGGAGGGGGGATGCTTCCAAGCCACAGTGGGGTCTGATCCAAGCCACAATCAAGTCCCAGATTTGTGACACACAATCGGACATCCACCGAGAGTCAAGCGCGTTGGCATCTTAGGTCAGTACTGGGTGTTGTCCAAGCCGAGGTCTTTGGAGGCATTTTTGCGCTCATCATTCGGGGGCCTCGCCAGACTGAAACCTGCATATGTTCCAGTCTGTTCTGCAAGTTGCTCAGTTTCATCTGATTTTGCTTGTGATGTTGTCTGGTGTTTGGGCCCATCTTCGTTTTGCCGTGTTCGGCTCCGGAATGTCCTGCAGCTGGCAAAAGGCAAATGGGGTTTTGGACATGGACCAGTCAAAGACCTGTTGGCTCCAACTGTTACATTGCATCGTAGTCGGACGTGCAAATGAGCCACAATCAAAACCTGGGTAGATGAAGGTTAGTAAGGGACGATCCCAACCAGAAATAGCTGCGGCCGCCTTCTTAATCCTGTACATGGTTCTGGGTTCACCATTTTTGTACCAGGTTTTGATTGCGACTCAAATGTATAGCACGTTCTGCGGGGTGATCAAGCCATCGATTCATGATTACAAGTGGTCATCTTGCGAATATCAAATGGGACTCGCATTGGAGGTATGCGCCCTGTTATTGTGTCACAGGGGTGGGCTTAAAGTAGGCGACATTGAACTGATTGTGCCAGTTGCTATACCTGTGGGACAGCGGGTTTTGCCTCGGGTCACTTGCGGCGACGAAAAGAAACACGAAAACGGAGGCCGGCCACTGCTTGGTTGTACCCTTCCAAACTCATTTGACTGAACACATCGAACAGGTTTGCTCTTAATTAGCTTGCAAACCACATATCAGAAATGACCAAGACGCTGGGTTCACTGACCTTTTGACATTGACCCCTATTGCATTTCTGGCACACGCCCATTGAATTTTAGGCAACAATCTATCAGCTTCTGGTCAATCCTGAACCACTGGCGTACTGCTGCAGCCTGCAGCAGCTACAGTTCTTAGTTGCACTATGTATTGCATCAGTCTGCTGCATTGGACAGTTGCTGTCCCTCTTATCGCAGGGAAGGGGTGCTGCGTCCTTGAAGTGCTTGGGTTTTCAGGTATGGGGCCGACAGGCTGGTACAACACACGTTGCGAGTCTTGTGGATCAGAGAGCTAGCAAGCCTTCAACTCGCATCCTGAGGTTCTGGGCAGGCAGAGCTGGTGGGTGAGTTCATGGATAGCCGCAAGTGCCATGCAACTTGACAGAGAAGTTTCTCGTCTGGCAACGAGTCCAATGTTCTTCCATGTTCACCTCGAAGGAGTCTTTCAACTTCAATTCACGTACTACTGTGCCTTGGAGCGATGGAGTCAAAGGTTTTCCTCCCCAAATGTTGCCCCATGGCGATAATATCCGCTGCGCTGGGTGTGTGTGTGTGTGCGCGCGCGTGTTGTTTGTACTCATTTGCTTGTTGGTGCAATTTGTCTTGAGTGGGCTGGGAATATGAACATATGAACATGCTTCCCAAGGGTTGTGTAGCATTCCCGCTGGAAGGACTTGTGCGGACTCGCTTTTGAGGAACCGTGTAGGTATCGCAGTCTACACTTGTGGAAGTTTTGCCACTCAGAAATATTGGGCCCAAGAAACGAGTAATTATATTTGTTTGCAATGGTCCCCAAGCCATCAAAGTCAAGACAACTTCTTTAAAAAAAGCAAGGGCAACCATTCGCACACGGGGGGGGGGCCCACAAGAGGCCCAGATCCTCTGTAATGCGACTGTTGTGGGGTCCTCTTTAGTGTCCAACTATTTTGGGGGGTTGCTGGAAAAGCGGGCCTTGGCAATACCAAAAGTAGAATTGGCAGTACTAAGGTCAGCACTGGGAATCTGAGAGGGTGCCTAGGTAATACTAAAAGTAGAATTGGCAATACTAAAGTAAGTACTGGGAATCTGAGAGAAGGCCTTGGTAGTAAAGTAGAATCGGCGATGCTAAAGTAAGTCTTGGGAGTCTGAGAGGGGGCCTTGGCAATACTAAAGTAGTTCCTCCATGACCCCGAGGATCTTCCTAAAGAGGGTCCCTGCCCCACTGCTGTGGCGGCAGCGGTGCGTGGTATTGGTGATGGTGGCAGTGGTGGTGCCAATGGCAGTACTGGTAAACCTGAATCTTCCGATGAGCGGTTTTTCCCGATCGTGCAGATTACCGCGCATTTATCTGGAAAGCGCTCGGTTCAAGAAAAAGCGCTCGACGCGGATATCGAAAAAGAGGAAACTGTCCATCGTGTGGGCTCAGTCTTCCTGCTAGTCATGTTCAAGATTGGCAGCGGGCGCCGGACGTGGCAAAACTAGCATTTTTTGATGTGCGCCCGTGTGGCGGGAAATTGCGCTTTTGTAGCGGGAATGTGCGCTTGTTGTGGGGCCTTGCCCGTTTCATCTTACAAAGCTGCTGCTCTGTTCAAAACATTGACCGCGTTGCGCAAAGTGTTCCCCAGAGGAGCCTCATTTCTTTTGCGAAGCAGCCTTCCAGTTGCGCCTGATTTATCGCTTGAAGACTACAAATAGCGCTCGTTCGTTGGAAGATACAGGAAAACACAGCACCTAACAACATGCATTTACCTGCTGAGAGTAGCCCGAAGAAAAGGGTCCACAGGGAGCGTGCTTTGAACATCGCAGTTTTCGGAATTCCAGAATTTCCAGTGGTTTCCTTCATCATGGTTCACCTACAGGAGTTTAAAACGTTTCGCCGAAGGCCCATGCCTTACCAAAGATCCTCTCAGAGACCGTCGCCCGGCTGAATGTCCAGGCGGCGCAGGAGCCACAGCACAAGTGTTGTGGCAACATGGGCGTGCGGGTTTTTGCTGCTTTGTACCATTCTTCGTTGATTTGGAGTCTTCCTATTTTGACACAAAGATCACAGGGATGAACCAAGATTGGAAGTGCAAGTGGGGTTGTGTCCTACAACCATGCTCTTCAATCGTGTTGCAACTTGTGAACATGTCGTTTACCAGGCCGTGTTGAAGGACTTCCGCCTGAACTACGAAATGTTGGGTCTCTAGGTCAGTCATCCGAAGCTTGCTCTCTGATTTTGGTTGGAAACCGCGGCAGGCATTCGGCATTGAAGACCATTTGGCTGGGCTTTCGCGCAAGACCCAACTGATCAAGTGCACTTTGCCAATATTGGGGCTTCGAAGTCCGAAGCTGTTCGCAGGCTGCATAGCGATTGGAGTTGGCGTCAATGATCAATTTCATCCATGGCTCCAAGCTTGCTGTTGGTGTTGCTGCTTTCTAGCTTTGCCGTGCTGGTTCTGAGTTATGTGTTTAGCGTGTGTGCTTTGTTTGCTTGTTTGCTTGTTTGCATGCTTGCTTGCTTGCTTCCTTGCCTTGCCTTGCCTTGCCTTGCCTGGCCTTGCCATACTTGCTTGCTTGCTTGCTTGCTTGCTTGCTTGCTTGCTTGCTTGCTTGCTTGCTTGCTTGCTCGCTTGCTTGCTTGCTTGCTTGCTTGCTTGCTTGCGTGCTCGTGTTTTTTTGTATGCTTGCTTGGTTGCTGTCTGCTTTGCTTTTATTTGCTTGGCTTACCTTGCTTGATTGCTTGATTGGTTGCAAATTGGGTTTGTTTGTTTTCTTGGTTGCTGCCTGCTTTGGTTTTCTTTGCGTTTCTGTTCTTTGCTTTGCTTGCCTTGCTTGCTTGCTTCCTTGCCTTGTCGTGCCCTGCCATGCCGTGCCCTGCCATGCCGTGCCCTGCCATGCCGTGCCCTGCCATGCCGTGCCCTGCCTTGCCTTGCCCTTCCTACTTACTTGCTTGTTTGTGATTGGTTCGTTTGTTGCTTGATTGCTGCATGTTTTGGTTTCTGTTCTTTGCAATGTGTTTTTGTCATGTTTGCCTGCCTTGCTTGCTTGCTTGCTTGCTTGCTTGCTTGCTTGCTTGCTTGCTTGCTTGCTTGCTTGCTTGCTTGCTTGCTTGGGTTTGTTTGTATGTTTGCTTGCTTGCTGCTTGCTTTGCTTTTGTTTGCGTTGCTTGCATTTTTTAGCTTGGTTGCTTGCTTCTTCGCTTGTGTTTGTTTTGTTTGTTTGCTTGGTCTCTCCTTGCTTTGTTGTTTTGCTTTTCTTTGCTTGCATTTGCTTTCCTTGCTTGCCTTGCTTGCTCGCTCGCTTGCAAGCAAGCAAGCAAGCAAGCAAGCAAGCAAGACAAACAAAGCAAAGACAAGGAACGCAAAGAGCTGAAAAGCTAAACATGCAGCAACCAAGCAATCAAGCAAACCAAACACACGCAACCAAGTAAGGAAAGCAACGCAAATAAAAGCAAATACATTTGTTGTAAAGCAAGCAGCAACCCAGCACAAAAACAAAACATGCTTGCTTGCTTGCTTGCTTGCTTGCTTGCTTGCTTGCTTGCTTGCTTGCTTGCTTGCTTGCTTGCTTGCTTGCTTGCTTGCTTGCTTGCTTGCTTGCTTGCTTGCTTGCTTGCTTGCTTGCTTGCCTTCTCTTGTTTGTTTTGCTTGTTTGCTTGTTTGCTGCTTGCTTTGCTTTTCTGTTCTCTGCTCTGCTGTTATTTGCTTTGCTTGCCTTGCTTGATTTCTTGCAGGTTTGGTTTGTTTGCTTGGCTGCTGCTTGCTTTGGTTTTCTGTTCTTTGTGTTTCTGTTCTTTGCTTTGCTTGCTTTGCTTGCTTCTTTGCCTGGCCTTGCCTGGCCTTGCCTTGCCTTGCCTTGCCTTGCCTTGCCTTGCCTTGCCTGGCCTTGCTTGCTTACTTTCTTCCTTGCTATTTGTTGCTTTATTTGTGTTGCCTTGCCTTGCCTTGCTTTGCCATGCTTTGCCTTGCTTTGCCTTGCTTGCTTGTCTGTTTTGTTTGGTCTCGCTGTTTTTTTTCATTCTGGCGGTGGGTCGGTCGATCGTTTGTTTGCTTTCTTGTTTGCTTGGTTCTTTGGTTTGAACTGTTGGTTTGTTCATTCTTTTGTGGTTTTCGTGTATGTGTTTGGGTAGCACGTGGAGGGCTTGCCCATTATTTGCCCACATGCGGTTCAGGAAACCTGCAGATTTTTCGGCGTCAGTTTGGTGCTCTGAGGCCCTTAGACGTCTAACAGACTTGGGCTCACTCCGTGGGTTCAAGAGTTCCGCTTCGGACTTTAGTCACGACTGCCTTCGTGGCTCGGGCACCAACTTTGACTTTTTGTTGGCCCCGCTTAGGAGGTTAGTTGTCCGTTCCCAAAGTCAACGGGAAACCACACGTTACGAGGTTGGTCGGGGAGAACCTCGTTTGCCATTTTTCTGGAAATGGAACTTAGCGCTTGTGGTTAGGATAAAATGCTTGCGCTTGACGGGTCCTCCGTCAAGTGGGATACTGCAGGCTCAGACAAAGTAGAGGTTCACGAAAGCGAAAAAACCACACTAGCAACGTCCTTGCCTGCGCCCCCCAACCTTGTTCCAGCTGGCGACTGTTTGCTGCTTCCTCTATTCGAGGAGGCGCACACCCTACTGGACCACGAGATTTGTGCCGTGGCCATGTTCATCATGCTCTTGGAGGCGTGCCCAGTCCCATTCCTATTGTTTCTTTACTTTCCGAAACCTTCAAGTGGTATTGGATACATTCCGGACACCATGGCACCATGTGCTTGAGAAATAATTGTCTTGGTGTTCTGCACGTCCGTCTTGCTTGTGCTCCGCAGGGAACGAGAAATGGAATGACCCCTATAAACCTTTTTTGTGGTTTCCTTTATTCGCCCCCCCCCCCCCCCCCAGGTTCATTGCATTTCTCATTCCCTGCATCTCTCGCCCCAACCAGGATGCATTCTGCACACCCTTGAACCATTGAACCACCATGTGGTTGAGGAAAAGGTGTCATTTGCTGCATCTTCAGCCACATGGTGCTAAAACCAAAAACTAGATCACCACAAACAAAAGTATCTTCAGCCATAAGTCCAGAGGTTGATTCCTCATTATTTTCAACCATCGTTCTTTCAAAAACCGGCCGTTTCCCTGGGTTTCCGGAGGTTTTCAATAAAGATCCGGATCCCTGGGTTAAGAATGGAATTGGAAGGTATCCCTGGAATTGGTGTAGCTGGCATCCCCGTGGCTCCTTTTTTCTCAAAGCGAGTCGCGCCGTTGAGGCGCGTGTCTCTTAAAGCGAGTCGCAGCGTTCAGGCGCTGGGCCAGCGGATCGAGCAGCTGGAGGTGGCGGTGCTGGAGCAGCCCCAGATGTGGCAACTTCTGGACGGGCGGCCAATGACCAGAGACCCACCCCGTTGGGAGATATGGCCGTGGGTCGAAACCAATGGTACCTATTTTGGGGCAGGTGCACCACCCATGTTTGTCTTCTTCTTTTTTGTGGGGATTGGGATGCTCACTGGGGGTGGGGGATGTTGAACCATGGCCATATGAAGGCATCCAAAGTGGGAGAAGAGGGTGAACTTCATGTTTTAAGAGCAAGAAGGGTGAATGTCTAAGTGGAAAAGGGGGTGAGCTTGATTTCAAGCAAGAGGGGCGTGTCCTGGGAGAGATTGGCGATGGCAATGAGATCCTGGATCTTCAACCGGGCCATCGGAGGAGTGGTCCCATTGGTTGGTTCAATGGGACCAAACTCGGACCCAGAAAGTCGGAACTACCCAGTTGATGATCCAACATATTGGGGTTGACGTCGGAACAAGGCTTGTCCGGGTGATTGGTATTCTATGCTGTCTTGGAATGAAGACGGTTCCTGGCTTTTCGGGTTCCTTGACTTCATAGCGTTTGGGAGGACCTGTTGAGTGGTAAACAACGAGTTTGGACTTTTTCGTAGTATCCAATCAGGAAGTGAGACGCTTAAATTAACTGCATGGGAGGGGAGGTCAACCATTCTTCGGGGACCCTCCCTAATCTTACTTTCTGGGTGTGCCTTCCTTCTTTTTAGGGGACCCAGCAAAATGGTACGTTTCCTCCTGGCCTCCTTCTAAACCCACAAAGAAACCAGAAAAGACAGGCCCATGAAGGTTCGCAATGAGCTCCCTTGCCAATCCTCGTCTTCTTGCAAGCTGTCCTCGCAAAGTGAGTCGGGGCCATGGGGGACAATTGCAAGCTGACCATTTGGGTGCTAGGAGCCATATGCCCCAGCTGTCCCAACAGGAGCCACAAGCGGATGGTGTTTTGTTTTTAGTCCTGCGTTCTATTCCCCCTTCCAACAGCTTCCAACGGCTTTGAGTTGGAGTTCCGCCGCAGCGGACCTTCGAAGACTGCTTTGCAGGTTGCAACTCTTTCACCGGGATGCCCTTTTGCGTTACTCGCCATCCAGGGCAAGTTGAAGGGGAAACTGTTTTCCGCATAGATAAGTTACATTGAGGATCTACTTCGGAAGGCGGTTTCAGGAACGATCAGGAACAGGTGTTCTTCCATGGACCAACTTCTGGCTTCCAAAAACACGGAGGCTTGCTCCTAGAGGGGACAGAACCAACCGAACCATCCCGTTTGCTTCTATTGCTTCTGAAAACGCTGGTGCAAGGGTCATCAGAGGGTTGCAAGTTGTCCAATCGGTCCTTCCTGAAAAGCATTCAAAAATCAGGAAAGATGGCACTACTGGAAACCTTGAGGACATGCAACACTGACAATGTTCAAGGGATTGGCAACGCGTCCTGGCCCAGCTTTAAATCGTTCGGGAGTGGCAAGAGACTTGCATTAGACAATATAGTTGCTGACCCGGAGGAGCCTTCTTGAGAACTGGCACTGGCCGCAGCCAGAGAAGCAGCCAGATTTTGAACCCGCGGGCGCTGTGAGCAAGGTTTGTCTTGGGGGTCCCTTTTTGGAGGTTATCCAGTCAGCAGCTGGGCATGCCGCATGCCCAAGGGGCTGTCCAAACTGCCAATTGCACGAGCATCGGTCACTCGGCTTTGTGTCCAGGGCCTGGCTCTTCCGAAGGTCTGGCTTCATGATGTTTCATGTAGGATCATTCTGGAAAATGTGTGGTTTGCATTGGAATGCGCGGCGCGGCCGCTTAGCAAGGAAGGCTTGATGAGAGGTTAGGTGCGGGGTCACAGCGGGCTGGGCCTAGCGAATGCAGGTCGTTGGTTTTTGTTCCTCGCCGCGACCTTCGGAGCCGATCGGTCCGACATATATAAACTTGCCTTGAGCGGGGCATCCTTGAAAAGGACGAGGGATGTGTCGGATCGAAATACTTTTCATGGGTGTGTCTCAAACCACGGGAGCCCGACTGGCAGTTGAGGATCAATTGGTCTATGGCCAGTTCCGTGATAGCCTGTAAGCCCATTCAACGCGATATCACTTGACAGCATTTCTTGGACGATATTTCTATTTGAGACCCAGCATGAACTACAGAGGGAACCAGCAGAGCAGGTACCCTGCCAACAACTCAAAAAGGCACTCCCACAACAAGCATGTAAGTGCACAGAGAGTGGTCTTGTAAAGGGGCCTACCCCTTCCCTGTTAGTGCGAGGGAGGCTCTAAGAGAGCTGGAGAGGATTTCTGGAAGGTGTTGGGTGCGGGATTTGGGGGGCGTCTTGCGATCTTGGCATACGCTGGGTGGGTCACAGTTGGATCAAGAGGGATCATCGCTGCAAGCTTTATGCAATTGGAGGAGTGAGGTACTCAGTTTCAGGTTCAGCATGTACCTTGGAGCAGCAAAGTCTCAAGTCACGCAGTTCGACGCGGAGTTGCGAACTGGCGTGTTTACGAAGCACCATTGCAGAAGGGCTCCTGTCACAAGCAGGCTCTCTGCAAAGCATTGCAAAGCGTCATGCAGCATACTGCGAGCGTCATGCGGTCTCGGGACACCTGGTCGAATGGGTTCCTTTGATCACCTAGCTGCTTGGGCCGACACGCTCGAACTTTGCTTGGCATGGGATCGGGGTGGGGGCTCGCACCCATGTTGGGAAGGTACGTCCCCGAACCTCTATGACTACCACTTCAAGTCTGTGACGTGTTGAATCGATATGCGTTCTGTTCCATAAGAAGAATTGGTGCTGTGGGGAACAGCCTCACCAAAAAAAGACAAGGGGGGGTGTTATATTCAGAGGCATGGTATCAATCCGCATGCTTTGCAGCTTGTTGACTTCAGGAGGGGAGATGTAGGAATGCGTCACCATTAGTGTGCAGCCATTCATTCAAATGGCCACTTTACTTCTGTGTCCTTTGGGCAAGCACCGAAAAGTGGTCCCCGGGTTCGGCACATCCCCATGGTGCTGTTGCAATACTGTTTAGTACATACCACTGGTTGCTCTTGGCTGCCGAAACAAGCTTTGTAACCTCTTGGTGCCAGCGTTGCTTGAGACGTGTGCAGAGGCCAGGGAGAACCCCAAGAGCTTTTAGGTTTTCTTATTTCCCTAAGCTTTTTCGATTTCCCCTAAGTTTTTTTCCCAAATCCCCACTTTTAGGGAGAGCCCTAAGGCTAGGGTTTCGTTTGGATTTCCATCTCCCCCACAGCCCATGGTCGTTTTGGCAAACGACGGGGGGCTCAGAGCAGCGCCATGGTGCTTCTGGCCTTTAAGGGTATGGAATGGAAGTTACAAACCACGGCATTGAGGTTGGCAAGGATCCTAGATTCCTGCAAGTTGGTGAGGTTTCCTTCAACCAGCGGCTTGACCCCGCCTTTAAATACCTTACACTCCCATTGGCATTTGGCAGGCATTTTTTGTTTGGCAACTGACAGCCTAGACCTGGTCTTTGCCTCATTTTGGCTGAGGCTTGCCATGTCTCAACTCAGGAATCTCTTGGGATAATTAATGCTTGGGGCCACAGGCTGTGAGCCCTGAGGTTTTGGACACCAAAAAACGGCCACATGGTTTGCGTCGGGGAATTGATCTTTACCAGCTCGATGAATTGGAGTACCTGAATTCTCCCATGCTTTTTTTTGTTTAAATGGGGTTGCCCAAAACAAAGGGGTCATGGCCCCATTTGTTTTTCGGGTCATGGAGGCTCCAGGTGCTGATCCATCCCAAAGCTTTCGAGGTGCCCGTGGCGCCGTATGCCAGATGGCCGCTTGACGCGTGGGGTATCCTTTCCTCAAGGTCCTGGACTCGACTCACTCTGGGGGAAAACCATTTTAGTGGTACACAAGCTGTTCAGACCCCTTGGCCATCATTCCACGGGGCTCCTTAAAAGATACATGTTGCCTATTTGAAACATGGCTTTTTCCACCAAAATAAAGCGAAGCCTCCATTTACAAGGCAATGTTCAGGTGTATAATGTAAGGATCCCTGTTCCATGGTTCTTCATATTACAGCCTGGCAAGAAGCCGTGGGCTGGTCTATTTCCCAATCAGAATCTAGTCAATTAGTTTGGATTTTGCGTCATGCTGGGTCATTTCCCACAATTTCAGGGGGGCGCAAACGGCAACATCAGGAACTTGGCAGAAGGGCGGTTCCGCTGTGTTCCCAAATTTACCAAGAGGAGCACGAACGCTTTGTTCGCCGCACATTGCAAGTTGGAAATACAAACATCCCTTACAAGACTCAAGACGGGTGTCTGGTTGGCGTGCTTGCAACATTTTAGGGCAAACCATGTTGCAAAGAGTGGCGCAGATATCTTCGCGGCATGGCCTTCATGTTTCACGGAGTCTGGAACACATGGGTGGGCCCGTCGTCTTTTAGGATTTGGACCCCCAAAATGGTTTCGGTTCCTTAAATGTCCCTTTAAGACCACCAGTCCAGACAGGGGTACCCCCAACCTCGTTTCTTCTGGCTCGCTGGGGAGCTCAGTGAGCTGAGTGAGCATGGCCAAAAAGTCGAGAAACGGGTTTTTGGTCCCAAAATGGTCCAAACCCCAACACGTGACTGAAGTTTCGTGAGGGAACACGTTTCAAGTCAACTCCAAACCTTGTGGCTCCCGACTCCCATTTTTGATCCTTTTAGTGTTTACTTCCCCAGAATTAGCTCCCCTTTTTGCTTTTTTGCTTTTTTGGGGTTCCCTTTGTTTTTCACTCACCACGCAAAAAAAGATATATATTTTTTTGCTGGGGTCCTAATTCCAGCCAAGTTTAGTGGTAGTTTCCGCTAAAAGTGAGTCACTTTTCGCGGGGGATCTGAGGGCAGCCCAGTAAAGACGCCAATGACCAAGTGTGAACTGTGTGTCCACGGGCTGGGTATGGTTCGAATGCCGCGGTTGCAAAGGCAAAGGCCCGTGAAGAATTCAACCCATGCGTTTTGGTTTTGATCGTTTGTGGCAAGTGGGGCTGGGGGTAGGGAAAGCCGATGCAAAAAAAAAGAAAGACACTCTTTTTGGGGTTGGTGTAACAAGAAGCCGAAAGGCATACATACCATTTTTGTTTGGCTTGAACAAATGGGGATATCCATATGGATTTACCGGGAGCCAAGATTCCCCTTTCGCTTCTCGGCACTCGTGGTTTCAGGTTGGCTTCGCGGGTTGAGGAGTATGCAGCCAAAAAAAAAGGCGACACGTCCGCTGTAAGCTTCCAAAACAAGGCTTGGACCTCAGCTCATCCTCAGCTCTTTGCATTGGCGCGGTGTTTCTTCAAGCGGAAGAAGCTTGTATGTCACGAGTTGTTTCAGCACAAGCTTCTTCCTCTAGTGGGTCAAAGATAGGTATGGAACCCTGGTAAAATGGAAACAATGACAACAACCTGCGGTCCCTGCTGGGTTAAATTTGACCCATGCCCCTGTCTTTTTCGGGTAAAGAGTTCCCACAGACACTGCACCGGCAGTTCTCAAGGCTCGCAGACGGGCGCGGAAGGTGCGCCTGCTCAGCGAGGCCGGTTTCGGACATGGCTGTGGCTCAAAATTAACGACTTAGGGTTACACAGGTTTTAGCCTTTGGTTTGGTACATGGTTTTGACCCACAGCCATAGGCCGTTTTTTCGGCTCGGAACTAGTGGCAGACATAGCCATGAGGCATTTTTTCTTGCTACGTGGGCTCGACGACCAAGTGCGGCTGTTGATGGGTCAGCTGGAGGTTCTGTTAGTTCCAAGGTCCTGGCCCAAAAGCCATTTTCATTTTTTCTAAATGGAACCAAGAGGTGGGGGTTTGCCTCACGAGAGGTCATGGTTGTTGTTGGGAAACATGTTACATTGTTGCTTGTTGTGGCTTAGTGCTTGAAATCCCCACCTAACTGCTAAAATCTGCAAATTTTTGCTCCCCTTCCAACGTCAACCGAGAGGTTCAGAGTAGCCCACAAGGAAACGGTCTAAAGGGGGGACTGCGTTGGACCTAGGCCCATGGGCCGCGCTCGGGGCGCGCGTCCGCGAAGGGCCGGCGCTTCCGAGTGGCGATGGAGAACTTGGGCTGCCAAGGCTCTGTTGGTCGTTGTACGAGTCAACCCAGGTGTTCAGTGGCACTTTTTACTGTTTTTGGGTGGCTGCCCCACTAAAAATGGTCTTCCCCAGAAAGGGTTCCCTTTTTTTCCAGGGTCACTGAAAAAACTAAGTCAATTCTCAAAGGGGGTTGGAAGGAACTTCCGGGTTGCTGACTTGAAGGTAGTGTTGGGCACAGACAAGATGATGAAAATCATAGATGCGTGCGAGAAGATATGCGTGGGCGTGTGGCAATAGAAATTTCAATAAGAGTGACCCTCTGCGGTTTTTCCGGGACCTTTGGGCCCATTGCACGGACGAGCGCTTTTCACGACATGTGTATTGCGTGACAGGCGCAGCACGTCGGCAAGCTGAGGTGCAGATTGTGTGGCAGGCACAACCACCGTTTAGAAGCCTCAGGTGCAGATTTTGTGGCAGACGCATCGCTTTGCCAGACTCGCTAGACAAATAGTATGTTGACAGAGCGCTAGATCGCGAGATAGCGGGATGGATGGAAAGACAGATAGATGATCAGATAGATGTATAGTATCATTATCGATTAGGCTAGACTAGGTTAGATGAGATTAGGTGAGTTTAGCTGCATAGCCGGAACAAGAGAAAGAGACAGATAAAACCAAATATGGGTGGGATCTCGGCGAATAATTTTCCCGACAGAGCACGTAGGACATAAGAGAACGAGAGGAACAGAAAGAGACAAGGAAAGAGAAGGATCAAAAAGGGAAAGAGAAAGGGAGGAAAGAGAGAAGGAAGAGAAGGGAAAGATAAAAGAAGAGGAAGTATATAGAGACAGAGACCGAGACAGAGGAAGAGCAGAAGAAATCGTGACAGGGAAAGAGAGAGAGAGAGAAGAAAGAAGCAAGAACAAGTATAGCCATAGTCTATAGTTCTTCATTCTTGAAACTTCCGCCAAACGGCTTCGCCGACTCTACTGATATGGGGGTGTGCTTTTGGGGTAGCCGTTTTGGGATGGTTCAAAGGGAAACGGTCCAAAACCATCTTTCGACACATACTCATATACTTGGAATCCCGCATTCGGAAACAAGCCCAGGAATACCTTTGGAATGGATCCACCACAGCTTCTGAGCCTGAGTTAAATGGTGTCGGGGTTAAGGCTGTTTTTGCCGGGTGCAACCTTGACGTGTGGAACCCGAAAGAGACATGCTTGAAACACGTCTTGTTTACAGGGGTTAAGCATGGATGTGTTTGTTTTCTACACGAACTATTGGTTGAATAATGTCAGGGTGGTTGCCACGGGGTTTGGTTGGCAAGTGCGCAGAAAGTCGTGGGCTCGGGCTTTGCCATTTCCGCTGACTCGTATTGTCTCACTTGCTAAGCCCGGGGCCAGTATGAAGTGAGCCTTGCGGCATGGCAGGCTGTGGTTCTTCAAAAGGAGGGGTCGCAACCCCAGCATTCATAGGGCCGTTCAGATTTCAGGTCCCGAAGCGCTCTAAGTGATTTTTGTGTTGTGGCGGAATACAAAAGTCTTTCAGCGTTCAGCACCAGTTTGGTAGGGGAGTCCTACGCTTATCAAGGCTTTTCACGGGCAATCGCGCATGACCGAGCGAGACATAGTTGGACCAACTTGGGAAAGGCATCCTGTACCATCCTGCACCTGGTTTGCAAAAGTGGCTGTAAATGAGCCCCACAAAGGGGAGAGATCCTTTTGGGACCAAAGGAAGCATTCGAGGGTCTCGGTCTGTGTCCTGCTTGTACAACTTCGCAATGCACACATGTTTTGTTTTTCTCATTTTTTGTCTTGTTCATATAGTTGTTTAGCAAAAATGACCCGGAATGAGGTCCACAAAAGCGCGGCAGCTATACTACTTTTCCGGCCTCTACAAAGTCGAATGGAAACAAGTTGTCAAGCTGCAGCAACATCAAACCACAGGAAAACTGAAATCTCTCGAAAATAATACCGAACCAGATGGAACCTCATTCTATTTCAGCAGGAAGCGCAAGCAATGCAAACTTCATAAAATGTTGCCATTCAGCATATAGAGAAAGGTGATGCAGTGCTTACACCAGAGTTGCACAATGGTGAGGATAAGGTACAACAATCCAAACGGGCTCCAAGCCATCCCCAAGAAAGACATGTGGTGTCTAAGTATGTTTGCATTACAACGGCGGCAAACTCTTAGACGCATTTATGTGCAACAATACTACTTTCAAGAGTCGGTAAATTGTCGGGAACCCCTTTGTTTGGTGACGCTAAAGAGAACCCTAGGCTTCCAAAGGCCATTAAAAGAATAGTCGAGGTCGCTAGACTGTTTTTTGCCGAAAGACCGTTTTTTGCGCCTGGCCCTGAATATGCAACAAATCATGGTGTTTGTTGCCCAAGAATTGCTTAGGGCCAGGTCACTGACAGTCACGCCGCCCTCATCCTCCCAGCTGCAAATGACTGCGCCCGAGCCACTCATTCCCCGGCTTGCCAATTGTATGGTCACATCACTTTTCAAAATCGCCAGGTGTCCCGCCTACCGTATATGCGCGCATAGATTCTTCGCATGTGGTACTGAAGTCCGGCTTTTTTCAAAAATGCTGCAAACTTAGTAGCTTCGGGGCATCGCTGCCGATCAGGCATGCGTTGTGGGCTCCTGGGAGTATGGTTGTCCACGCTTTTAAATGTACTTTCCACGCTGTTAAATGTGCTTTCCACGCTAAAAAACGTACTTTCCACGGTTTGTCCATGGTTTGTCCACGCCTCATTTTCTTTCGAAATCGATTAAACAATCAACAAACGACACGCGATCAGACTCTGTGGAGCTGTGGACAAGAAGCGGAAAAGCACGCACGGGCATGTGAGTGACAAGCCAAATTGACACAGCATGGTGACGGCGTGTGATTGCAACGGGATGCAGCGACTTTAAAACATACTTAGCTTATTTCACAACACGCAGCAATAATTTATTCAACCTCTCACTATCAGAAGCGCGCGGGGATGTCAGGAGCCAGCCGTCTCAAGTTGGCCAAGTTTGTCTAGACCTACTTTTAATGGTCGAGGGACATTACTTTTATAGCCTTTCGTTTTTTAAATGGTCGAGGCTATTTAAAGAATAGTCGAGGAAGCATAGGGAGAAAGCATCAGGACAATTCAGGAAAACCACTCCTCTCAAGGGGTCCCCTGAACAAGATGCACCCATATATTCGTTTCGATATGTCACGTTCGTCCCCCGCCCAGCACTGTTTCCAGCAGCAAGGCGCAGGGCTTCGGCCTCGGAAGCCGGCGGCAAGCGAACAGTGCAACTCGAAAGGAATTCGGGACGTGAGCCAGAGGTCGGGTGTCCGGTTTGAATCAAAGACTTCCCCCACTGACCCCTAGACCAAACCCCGATCAAGAAGTATGACAGTTGAGCCGGGTTTGGTGGTACAGCCTTGGAGTCTTAGGCGAGGTTTGTTGCAACTTAGAACAACCTTTTAGTGACTCGAGCGATTGCGGGTTTATTGGGGAAGATTGTTCGCGCCAAAAATATCATGTGCAAGAACCTCATGAGGTTTCAGGTGAGGTTTGTTTAAGAAGGTGTTTAGTGGGGATGATACTAAGTATGTGAGTTACCCATGCGTGACGATTTGTGTCGGCTTGGACGCTGGATCGTGTGCAAGCCAACAGGGAAGAAACTGAACACCTGGCAGGGTGGACACCCAGCGTCTATTGTGTAACTGTGTAACCACCTTCCTTTTTTTAGGGTATAGCCAGACATATATTTACACCACCTTTCCATTCAACCACCAGCAGAACACAATCTTCAACACATTGCTCCGGGGTTCTCGCGTGCAAGATACGCTCTCGGCATCCACCCCTCCCCCACTCGAGCTGCCGCGAGGCACGCGCATGCGTCGAACCACCGCGTGGCCAAGGCCAGTGTATATATGTGGCGCAAGCCAGTGGGAGCAGGACAGGTTCGCCCTTGTGTTATTTGTGCTTTGCTTAGTTGGTGTTGGTTAGTTTTTGTTATTTGTTTTTTCCTTGCTGCGTTGTTTCGGCTGGCCGCGCTGTGCTGCTTGTTCCGGTGTGTGGTGTGTTCGCTTGTTGTGTTCTGCTGTTCTTTTGCTTGGTTGTTTGATTTGCTTGCTTCCCAGTGCTTGGTTGATCGGGCTGTGGGTTGGTTAATTCAGTCAGGCAGTGAGATCCCCCAGCCCGGAAATCATAGGACAGGTGGGCACCCCTTTTTGCGGGGGTTAGGGAAGCCAAAGGTGTTCCCTACTTTGTAGTGTTTGTTGTTCTCACATTCCTTGTCTGCTTGAAGCCGGGCTGAAGGTAAAGACTGGGTTGTCCAATCAAGCGCCGTCCCAAATATTCAGATGATATGTGGCTAGGTAAACATCCCAAAAGAACACCAAAGAGCCCATGTTTAGGCAGGAGTGGTTTAAGTTATGTCTCAGGCGGTGGACCCAATTCTGTGGAGCCCTCATAGTAAAGCTGTGCCCATTTGCAGGTACGTATTCCAGCTGCGGTGTCCACAAACGAAACAGTCAAAGGGCTTGATTTGGTCGGCGCCGTTCGGGAAGGAAAAGGAAACCACTCATATTCTAGCTGTACTGATCCAATTAGGTTCAGGAATGCTTCCTTCACCAAATGGCCAAACACCCACGCAACATATAAGGTGATTTCCAAAAGTGAACACCGAGTCCATCAACCTTCGCAATGTTCAAAGGCACGGCTCTCTTTGAATTCATGCGATATTATATACTTGATACTTCAAAATCTAAATATACATGTGTATATATAAATATGTCTGCATATATGCATACATGGGACATTCCGAGGGCAACACGTGGCGCTCCGGCCAGGTTGGCCGTGCGCAGCTGGTGGCGACCTCCAAGGCCATCACCGCCTGCGAGAAAGGCCCAACCGCGCTGGGGGATCGCAAAACCCAGAGGTTTGATGCCGGGGGAATGGTTTCCTTTTAGCCTCATTGGGGGAGGGGGGGGGAGAAGGAGGGAAGGGTCTTGGGACTTGGTACAAATGTATCTAGATATCTCTGCTTGCATTTGTTTGGGGCGTTTGGGCTACGTAGGCTCCATGTGTCACTGAGAAACGGGGGCCAAGGCTGCGGGGGGGCGCCGAATGGGCAAGTGGGGGGTCAAAGCAACCGGGTACCAAAGCAATGAATGCTTAAATCGGGCTTTGAAATGGGCACGGAAAAAGGGTTGCATCATGCATCCTGCGGGGGGTGCTCCTGTGGTTGTGCCCCAGAAATGGCATGCTGGCAATAGGAGGCATCAGCGTATGGTTGTGGATTCAATGGCACTTTCTTTCGGTGGGATGATGTTGGGGTAAACGTCGACATAGGGTGCTCCTCACGTCATTCTTTCCATTGAACTCTTCACACAGGTAACATGAAACCGTGACTGAGGAATCGGTCCTGGGTGATTTTCATTTAAAAAGGAATTTCCTGTCCGCTTTCAATCGGGCAATGCCAAGGGAGGTACTTGAGGCAATCCACCAAAGCATCTTCGAGGAAGCTGCCATATTGAAGGGAATTTCTGGTGGGTTCATCACGTTGGTCAGGAGGGTAGCTGAGAAGTGGCTGTGGTAGCATTTTGAGGTAAGTAACTTCACCACCCATTTTAGAACCTATTTTAGTGGTTGGATTGAATCGGATGTTCACTGCATTGGGATGTTCATTGGGATGTTCCACGGCCAAGTCTCTTGGCCCTCCCAGCCATCCCCTTAGCTTTTTAGCCTTCTGGTGCTTTGTGGTAGTTTTCATTTAACCCACTAAAAGTTCTCAACTTCTAGCGGGAGAAAACGGGCAGCTTCGCCCTCCAATCCGCGCGCAGGCTCCACCTGGCCCGCTGCCTTGCAGCTGTTGCACGCCGCTGCTCGCGAGAAGCTGCAGCTGGACCCGGGGGCTTCGCTCGGCTTCGGGGCTTCGCTCGGCTCATGAGCCACTTGCTCAAAACCGATTCGGGTAGATGAACAGGGCTCCTTAAAAGATCCATTTTGCAACCATTTGAAACATGGCTTTTTCCACCAGAATGAAGTTGGAAACCACCATTGACAAGGCAATGTTGAGGTGTATAATGTAAGGATCTCTGATGAAGGTTAGTAAGGGACAATTCCAACCATAAATAGCTGCGCATATCCGGCTTCTTCTGGGTAGACCATTTCAATACCGGGTTTTGATTATGACTCCCAGGAGGAGCTAAAACTGAAATGAGTATCGCAAAGACTTCTTCTCAGATTCCCAGTGCTTGATTCAACATGTTGCCAAGTCTTCTTTTTTAGTATTGCCAAGGCAGAAACTCTCAGAACCCCAGTAGTTAATTTAGTATGCGCCCCTCGCGTTATCCCTCACGAAATCCCATTGCGTGACAGCAAACCGCGGTTGAAACCATCAGGTTTGTTGGTATTTACAGGGGAATCGTCTCAAACTAGGTTTCTGAGGTGGTGCAGGATTTTGCCTGTCCATCAGTAGGGGTTAATCAGTTCCAGTTTCCGAAGCTGGAATTCTTGGATGCTGAAAAATGCCAGCGTGCTGCCTTGCAGGAACGGATGGACACAGGAGATGCCCCGGGGAAAAGACACGCAGCGCAACCAGATAAATCAATATTCAACAAAGGCTGGGTTGAACCAGGCTGGGTTCAGGATTTTGCTTAGAAGGCATTCTGGGCAGGGGCCATCAGACTCGTTTTAAGGGTTTTCTTAACACACACCCTGTTTTAATTACCCCTTCTACACCCAGGGAGCACCTCAGCACGCAATCGCTTCAAGCCTTTGCCGGTTTTTGTCCTCCTCAGGACACCATCATCATGAATTCGGCCATCAGTGCCTGCGAGAAGGGCGGGGCTTGGCAGCAGGCGTGTTACACGTGGTGCAAGGGGCACACCATGTCTCAAGGTGAAGACTTGTTGGTATTGCCAGACTTTAGCAGATTTGTGCGACTTGTTTGCCAGGTTGCCAAAGGGACCCGCAGAAGGAAACCTACAACTTGAGACGAATGTTGTCTCCAACGACATGTGCGTAAGAGGGGCTGTGATAACTTCCCCAGAATTAGCTTCCCTCTTTCCTTTTTTGCTTTTTTGGGGTCCCTTTGTTTTCCACTAACCAGGCAAGAATGATATTTTTTGCTGGGGTCCTAATTCCTGCCTAGAGGCGACTTTTGTCAGGCCTTACTGCTGCTGACCTCGTTTCCGAAGCGTCAGCTTCTGCGAGACGACGCTCGGATCGGCGCAAAGTGGGGAGCTGTGTGGTGCGCACAGCCGAATTGGATGTGCACTCCAAACAAGCTGCCTAGTCGACTTTGTACACTCAAATATGCTGGTTGGTTTCGTTTTTTTTAAGTATCGTTTGCACATGGGAACTGTGATTTCAAACCCAGGTTGCCCAGTTTTCACACTGGGGCTTCGTCAAGCGTGAAAGATCAGCCTGGTCAGTCAACGTCAACTCTGGCCACTTGGCTTGTTGCACAGATTTGCAAAGGCCGGTTTGGAGGTGAAGCTCAAAGAGCAAAAGGAATCCCGCATTGGAAAGGGTCTAAAATGGAATGCCATCTTACCCCATCTTTTGGAGGTTTCCTTGGATCACGAAAGGCCTGGGCCTCCCTTGTGTCATTTCTGATGGGCCTCTCAGGCCAACGGGTTCCCAGAGCTGCAACTTTTAGTTTGGGGTTCCTAGATCACCCAAAGGGTCACCTTCTTCCCCCCTGAGGTTGGGTGCCAAGGTCTGTGTCTAATACGGCTCGGTTTGTGTTTGCATGTTTGTGTTTCTGTCTTGAGGGCACCCTCCTTGTTTTGGAAGTGGAAAGGGGCAGCGCACGAAAACCACGGCTGAGCGCCTCCCCCCCCCAACTTGAGATCGAAGTTCCAGGTCCAAGGCTACCCCTTGAAAAGCCGCTCTCGCGTTTGGTGTGCCGTCTTCCTTTTTCCCATAGCCTTCAAAATGAAAAGCACACACCGACCCTACCGCCATGTCTTCTCTTGGTATAGGGCTATTTTTAAAGGGGTCCGCCTTGAGCTTGATCATGGTATACCTGACTTACCTGACGACTACCTGTTGACCTCTGCGCTTAATTTGATTCATCTTCGGCCTTGGTTCCAACACATCAACCTTTCATTGCCGAAGCCTGAGCTTTTTAGCCTTGTCTTTGGTGGTTGGATTTCCGAATTTCACCCACAAAATTGTTCGTCACTTCTAGCGGATCTGAAAAAAAAGGACAGCCCAGTAATGTTGACCCCACTTTCATCCACCAACCAGAAATAGGGGGTGCTTCTCCCTGGGTGTAGTGGGGAATCATACAACTTTTAGAGGGGAACACCCCCCCCCCAAAATTTTCCAACCAGGAGAAGATCGGAGTGAGGTGATTTCCTTCAACGCTGCCATCAGCGCCTGCGAGAAAGGGGATCACTGGCGATTGGCGCTGCACCTCTTGGGGGAGACGTGGCGGACAAAGCTTCGGGCCCCTTCGGCTGCAAGAGCTCTTCTTCCATTTCGTTGAAGAATATATATTTGTTTTTATTCTCCCGTGTTGGTTGTAAAAGAAATATGTTTAAGAATGTTTTTGTTTAACCTTCCCCTGTTGGTTTTAAAAGAAATGGGTTTGAGAGTATTTACGAGTATTTGTTATTTTCCACTGTTAGTTTTAAATGAATTTGTTTCAGAATATCTGTTTTATTCTCCCCTGTTGGTTGTAAAAGAAATATATTTAAGAATGTCTTTTTTTATCTTCCCCTGTTGGTTTTACAAGAAATGGGTTTAAGAGTATTTACGAGTAGTTGTTATGTTCCCTGTTAGTTTTAAATGAATTTGTTTCAGAATATATTTTATATTCTTCCCTGTTGGTTGTAAAAGAAATATGTTTAAGAATGTATTTTTTACCTTCCCCTGTTGGTTTTAAAAGAAGTGGGTTTAAGAGTATGTACGAGTATTTGTTATTTTCCCCTGTTAGTTGTAAATGAATTTGTTTCAGAATATCTGTTTTATTGTCCCCTGTTGGTTGTAAAAGAAATATGTTTAAGAATGTCTTTTTTATCTTCCCCTGTTGATTTTAAAGAAATGGGTTTAAGAGTATTTACGAGTAGTTGTTAATTTCCACTGTTAGTTTTAAAGGAAGTTGTTTCGGAATATCGCGTTTTCCCTGTTGGTTTTAAATGGAATTTGTTTAAGAATGTCTTTTTTATCTTTCCCTGTTGGTTTTAAAAGAAATGTTTAAGAGTATTTACGAGTAGTTGTTATTTTCCCCTGTTAGTTTTAAACGAAGTTGTTTCAGAATATATTTTTTATTGTCCCCTGTTGGTTTTAAAAGAAATTTGTTTAAGAATGTGTGTTTTTGTTAATCTTCCCGTGTTGGTTTGAAAAGAAATTGGTTTAAGAGGATTTTACAAGTATTTGTTATTTTCCCCTGTTAGTTTTAAATGAATTTGTTTAAGAATGTATTTTTATTTTTCCCTGTTGGTTTTAAAGGGAATTTGTTTAAGAATGTCTTTTTTGTCTTTCCCTGTTGGTTTTAAAAGAAATGTGTTTAAGAGTATTGATGAGTATTTGTCATTTTCCCCTGTTAGTTCTAGCGGAATTTGTTTAAGAATGTCTTCTTTATTTTCCCCTCTTGGTTTTAAACGGAATTTGTTTAAGAATGTTGCTTGTATCTTCCCCTGTTGGTGAAGATAAACATTTGTTTAAGAATGTTTTTTGTGTCTCCCCCTGTTGGTTGTAAAAGGAATTTGTTTAAGAATGTCTTTTGTTTCTTCCCCTGTTGGTTTTAAAAGAAATGGTTAAGAGGATTTTCGAGTAGTTGTTATTTTCCCCTGTTAGTTTTTACATGAACTTCTTTAATAATATCTTTTTTATTTTCCCCTGTTGGTTTTAAAAGGAATTTGTTTAAGAATGTCTTTTTTATCTTCCCCTGTTGGTTTTAAGGGGAATTTGTTTAAGAATGTCTTTTTTGTCTTCCCCTGTTGGTTTTAAAAGGATTTGTTTAAATAATGTCTTTTGTATCTTTCCCTGTTGGGTTTAAAAGAAATGTTTAAGAGGATTTACGAGTAGTTGTTATTTTCCCCTGTTGGTTTTAAAAGGAATTTGTTTAAGAATGTCTTTTTTTAATTTCCTGTCGGTTTTAAAGGGAATTTGTTTAAGAATGTCTTTTTTGTCTTCCCCTGTTGGTTTTAAAAGAAATGTGTAATAGTATTGATGAGTATTTGTTATTTTCCCCTGTCAGTTTTCAATGAATCTGTTTAAGAATGTCTTTTTATTTTCCCCTTTTGGTTTTAAAAAGGAATTTGTTTAATAATGTCTTTTCTCCTGTTGGTTTTAAAAGGAATGTGTTTAATAATATTTGTTATTTTCCCCTGTTAGTTTTTAAAGGAATTTGCTTAACACTAGAGTATTTTATATTTTCCCTTGTTGGTTTTAAAAGGAATATGGTTAAGAATGTGTTTCCGGTTGGTGTTGAAAGAAATTTGTTTAAGAATATGTTTTTCCCCTGTTGGTTTTAAAAGGAACTTGTTTGAACATATGTCTATTTTCCCCTGTTGGTTTTAAAAGGAATTTGTTTTAGTGTATTTTTTTATTTTCCCCAGTTGGATTTAAGAGGAATCGATCATTATTGGAGATATTTGCATTTTTTGCAGGGGGCTGAAGCAAATGGATGTTTTTCGCAGGAAACCGCAAGGCGACGGAAGGTGTTTTAGCCGTCCATCAAACAGGGGGACTTCCATCCATACAAATCTATGGCAAGGTTTGATGTGTGAATGTGTGTGTGTGTGTGTGTTTGTTTTTGCCCTCTCGGTTCATAAGCAATCTTCGATCCTTCTCTCAAATGCTGATGCTTAAGCCACCAGCAAGTAATATATATATATATACATATATATATATATAAACGCTGATGCTTAGGCCACCAGCAAGACAGCAAAAAACAAAACGTTCTTTTTAGGGGCAAGAAAGGCTGGGCCTCAATTTACCGCCCAGTTCTTTGAGCTTTGCGGCAAGGCCGCGCAAGCAGATCGTCAGAAACGGGGGTTTTGAGCCTTCCAGCCTTCCCAGGTCCAACATGTGGCCCAGTTGACTCACAAGCTCATGCTGGTGTCACGGCTAGGGTGAGCTCACCAGCGGCGTCCAACTTGAAGTTGTACCTGGCCTGGAGCATTCTAGGGGTAGCTTCCAGTTCCATTCTTTCCATCCGGATATTTCTGGAAAACCACCAAAAACCCCTAGGGAGCTAGATCTGGTTTTTTTAAACGATGGAAAAGGAATCAATCCCTAGATTCCCAGGTCCAACATGCGGCCCATGGGTTTGACACCCAGCCACAAGGAATTTCGAGATCACGAGGCCAGCATCATTACCTTCAACGCTGCAATCAGTGGGAGCCTCAGGCGTTGGTTCCTGTGAGGAAAGCGTAAGGATTGCCATGGAAATTACCCCCTTTTGGAGGTTGAGGTTGCCCCTTTTTGGAGATTACCCCTTTTTGGAGGGTACTTCTTTTGGAGGCTGAGGTTACCCCTTTTTGGGAGGTTACCAGCCATCAAACTTTGGAGGTTACCCCTTTTTGACCCAAGCATCATGAAAGTTTACCAGGTGCCTTTTCACGAGGGCTCGATTGTGTGGTGTTCCATGTGCGGAAAGCGGGTGCGCGAGGGGTGGCCCTTGGTTGTTAAACAAAGAACATAAGCTCAGGCGGTATCCCCAGCAGAACCCCCTAGAATCCTCAGGAACCCTCTTTGAAAGCAGCAAACCACCGCCCCGATCGAGTCTATTTGCGAAGAAATCGACCCCATGGCTTTAAGCTGTTGGGGAATACTGGAGTTTTGGACTCTGATTGGGCAGCCCTCGAATCAGAAGCGCTGGAAGGTTATATTGCTCATCTTTTCAAGCTCATCACATAGGTTTGTCCCATGAGATGTTCATTCCAAACTGGGGTTCTGTTTGCTTTCGCTTCAAAGACGCAAGCGTTTCGATTCCCCACAGCCCATCTGGAACTTGTGTAAACCCTCGCTTGGAGAAGCTCGCTTCGGCCAGGTTTTGATGCGCTCAGCCGGAGCATTGGATGAGGAATTAGTGGCAAAGCATCAGACTAAAAGTTACGCAACATTCCGCAGATCCGCCACATCCAAATGAGAAAACATATCCACTGATGGATTTAGATCGCCTAAGAAATCGGATTGCATCCGCGGAGCACAATTCACGAGAGCGATTGCTTTATTTCCAAACTGAACGCAGGGAGCCGCGGTGTTCCTGGTGACCATATGACCGCCTTGTCAGGCAATAGGTGGGTCAAGATGAATCCGTTCCCCCAAAGAATAACCCTCTCCCCTCATGAATATATTGACGTGGCCCAACAATGCAGTGGATGGACGAAATCCGGCACCACTTTGAAACCATGGGAAATCCACTGTTTGTTGGCAATTGCAGGGGAATCATTGTTCCAGGGATTCTTTTGTGGTGCAGAAGCTCATTCACCCATAATGGGGTGAGGGGATTTCCGGCCGAGGTGCATGCGGCAAAGGCCTGCAGTGGCAAACTGCGATCGCCTTAATGCAAGAAGCCAAGGACCCGGCACCGATGCTACGCTTTGTTGTTTTGAAAACACTTGGATGGGGTCCATTTACATCATTCGAGGGGCTGCTGTGTAGGGGTTCTTATTTCGCTTTTTTGGATGAGCTCCCTTCGAAACAGGCTTCGTTCTTGTAGCCCTGCGCTACTTGGGCCAATGTTTCAACCTCTATTTCAACATAACTAGGCAATGGGACTTGAAATCGGTGGGTTGCCTTTGTTTTCCCGTTTGATTTGCTGAGATGCTTGCCCATACTCTCATCCATATTGGCTTTGGCCAATGTTTCAACCACAGCTTGAATATCATCCTTTCATTTCTCAAACTCGTGGCAATGTCAGGCATGGCAGCGACTCCTTGAGGAGCACTTGGGGGTCATTCAGTGACCTCCTCCCGCCAAGATTGCCGTTGGGTCAATTCGGACTTACTACACACACGCACACACGCAAACAAGGGGCCCACTTGGTGCCATGGCTTTTGTACTGGTGGAACGTGCTTGGTGACCCCCTTTGGTTAAAGACGCCCGGGTTGTCCCAGCCGACTGCCAGCCAATACTTTAAAGCCCCCCATAAGGTTGCTCAAGTGCGCATACCATTTTCTTCCCCAGAATTGCTCCCCTCTTTATTATTTTTTGCTTTTTTTGGGTCCCCTTTGCTTTCCACTAACCAGGCAACAAAAGAAAGTACATTTTTTCGCTGGTGTCCTAATTCCAGCCTACCGTCCACTTAGGAAGCGAGAAGCCAAGTCCCTGAATCGCTGGGTGGTCACTGAACGGACTAGTTGATAGTTGGAACGGCCCTGGAAAGCGTGTCCAACTCCCCAATTACCACCCCCCCCCCCAAAAAAAAAAACGATACCCCCCAACAAAAAGACCGACCCAAATCGTCTTCTTTCTTTTCAGTTTTTTTTGGGACCCCCCCCCCAAAAAAAAAAGAGACCGACCCAAGTTGTCTTCTGTATCTTCTTTGTGTTGGCACCCACGCACAAAACAAATACCCCCCCAAAAAAGACCGACCCAAGTTGTCTTCTTTCTCTTCTTTTTTTTGGTAGTAAAAAAAAGATACCCCTAGAAAGACCGACCCAAATTGTCTTCCTTTTTTTTCGGGGGGGGGGGGGGGTTGGGTTGGGTCCCCGTGAGGCCAGCAACGGATTTTTCTTTGGCAAGGAGGGCCAGTTGGAGGCATCCATCGTGAGCTTCAGTGCCTGCATCGCCGCCTGCGAAGCAGGCAGAAACCAGTCGAACCTGACGGCGGGGTGTTGGATTCGCCAAGTTCATGGTTGTTGGGATACTGTTTGACCTTTTTGCTTCTTGTGTTGAGTGGGAAATCCTTTCTTGACTGCTAAAATTGTCTTTTTGTTTTTTTCCATCGACAACCAAGACTTAGCGTTCGATTCGCCAAGTTAGAAAGTTACTATGAACCGTTCGGTTTACAACCCACAGGTGGGGTTAACCCAGTCGTTGGTGGATTAGAAGCCAGGCTATCCACTTACTAACTTGACAGAACACCCAAGTATCTTCATTGGATTCCTTGGGAAAGGTGTGCGCTTCATCTAGGGTAGGCATGCGCATGATTGAACGGGTTGAATGCCTTTGCACGAACTTCCAGTTTAGACTTCAAGGTGCTGTAGGTGAAAGTTGTGGATTGATTGCTTGAGTTCTATCCACAGGGCCGGCTCTTCAGTGCCGAAGAAAGACACATATCTTCTTTCCCAAAATGAGTTCCCCTTTTATTGTGTTTGTTATTTTGCCTTTTTGGGGTACCCTTTGTTTTCCACTACCGGGCAAAAACAAATAAAATGCTGGGGCCCTAATTCCAGCCAAGTCTTGTTAACGGTGGCTTTCCAAAGAGATATCTTCCCAAAAAATGAGGGCAGTGAGCAACTGGGGCTAGACAAGTTTGGCCCAACCCCCCATTTCGATGCCGCAGAAGGGTGCTTTGAAATATACTCATGGCCCGTTAGGGCAAAACCTGTCCAACGCAACATAATGTAACCTGCAGGGAAGCCAAGAAGAAGTTCAAAAGATGTAAGACATGTGGAAACCAAGGCTTGGCCCCAACCTGGCCCTGAGCCTATCCCTAAATTCCTAGATGAAACTGTGGACATGGAAGCCAGTCGGGGTCGGGGCACCTGTGCATGGACCAAGTCCCATCATTGAAAGCTGCTTTCTCACGAAGCAGATGTTTGGTGGATCAAAGGCTGCGAGAGGAAAACACCAACACTCCTTGCCCCCTTTGGTGCGATTGGCCCATGGATAGTTTGCACGAAAGGAAGATTTAGGGCTTCAAGCAACTGCGATTTTGTTTAGTTATCTCGGGGCTAGTAATCCTCCGGTTAGGACTTTCATGACCCTCGTTAGAACCAAACCGGCCAAGTCGGACCCGTTGTTTTGTTTTCAATAGGTTCCCCAGTGCTTGGGTCAGATTGCCTGCCACGCAGCAATGTCCAGAATCAAGGCCGGCCACCAACGCCCGCCAAGCGTAGCAATACAGGGGGGTTGGATAATTATTGTTAGTTTTCTCCTATGGCTATTATTAAATTATGGCTTTGAAGTTCCCCAAAACCCCATTCTAACTTGTTTCAGCCCAGGCATAAATGTCCATTCCGGTGCGTGTCTCGGATGATCACGCATCGCGTCAAGTGCCTCAAGAGGCCGTTCGGAGCGCCTCGTGATTTAAGACGCGAGTCGCAGCCAGAGTGCAAGAGAGCTGCTACTCACAAGAAATTCCCGGCACGAGAGCCTGGCACAAGTGTTGGTCATGCCCGCAATTGTACTGCTCGTATTTCTGCCTGTGCAAAGCAAGCAATGTGGCAGGATGCCTGCGCTTTGCTGACAGCCATGCATCAGCTAAAGCTTCAGCCGAGTGTTGTCAGCTACAGTGCAGCCATCAGTGCCTGCAAGAACGGAGGACACTGGCAGACTGCTTTGGACCTATTCTGGGCCATGCCTCATGCGAAGATACAGCCTGATGCAATTAGCTTTAACACAGCCATCAGCGCCTGCGAGAAGGGTCGGCACTGGAGCATTGCTCTGGATTTGTTTGGCGCCATGCCCCAGACAGCACTGCAGCCTGACATAGTCAGCTACAGCGCAGCCATCAGCGCCTGTGAGAAAGGAGGGAAGTGGCAGGAGGCTTTGCTGATTTTTTGGGCCATGCCAAACTCCAAGGTGCTGCCGAATGCGTTCGGCTACTGCGCAACCATCAGCGCCTGTGAGAAGGGTGGGCGGTGGCAGGAGGCTCTGGACCTGTTTCAGCACATGCCTCAGGATAAAGTACAGAACAGTGCAATCAGCTACAATGCAACCATCAGCGCGTGCGAGAAGGGTAGGCAGTGGCAGCAGGCATTGGACTTGTTTGGGCTCATGCACAAGGCAAAGGTCCAGCCCAGCAAAATCAGCTTTAGTGCAACCATTAGCGCCTGCGAGAAGGGTGGGCAATGGCAAAAGGCTTTGGACCTGTTGAAGTGCATGCATGAGGCAAAGCTTCAGCCCACCATCATCACCTTCAGCGCGGCCATTAGCTCTTGCGAGAAAGGAGGGCAGTGGCAGGAGGCTTGTTCGCTGTTCTGGGCCATTCGCCAGTCAAAGCTTTCTCCAGATTCGGTTTGCTACAATGCAACGATCAGCGCTTGCGAAAAGGGTGGGCAATGGCAAGCAGCCGTGTACCTCTTTGAAGGCATGTTTGAGGCAAATGTTCGACCCAGCATAATTAGTTACAATGCGACCATGAGCGCCTTAGAGAACGTCGGCAACTGGCAGACGGCCTTGAGCTTGTTTGCGGCCATTCCTCAAGCACAGCTCCAGCCGAGCAGAGCTACCCAGTCCAATGGCATATGCAAACCGCTGTGTCAAGCTGGTTTCCCTTGCAATTCACCAACAAAACGAAAAGAACGCCTTGTTCGTGTCCCTGCGACTCTGGGACACAAACCAAGTAAGGTCAGCTACAACGTCATTATCAGCGCCTGTGAGAAGGGTGGACAATGGCAGAAAGCCCTGCAGCTGTTTCAATCCATGGCTACGCCAGACGCATGCAGCTACAGCGCCGCCATCAGCTCCTGCGAAGAAAGTCGGCACTGGCAGAAGGCCTTGGACCTCTTTGGGGCGATGCTTGGCCCACGAAAACAGCCGTTCATAGTGTTTCCCACATGGGTACGGGTTAAAATTAAACCAGAGCACAGGTTTTAGTCCATGTTTCCATTTACAAGGGCAACCCATTTTGGGTACCAATTTTTTGACCCACAGTCACAGCCACATAGAAGTTGACTTATTGGGCCTTTTCAAGAGGGTAGCGGTCTTCCAAATCCCTCCTGTCCACGGTGGTGATGGTTGAAAAGAGGATAACCTTGGGAAACATAGATGCTTTCCCACTAGCCAGCCACAAAATAATCCTTTTGCACGGGGTTCAGATTCACCAACCCAGGATGCAATTAGCTAGAATTCAGCCTGACCTGGTGAGCTACATTTGCTTGTTGGATGCTGTGCATGACAAGGCCAGCGGGGCCTTTTACTTCGAGCAAGCATTGACGGCAAACGTGTTTCCCAACCTGCGGAAGGTGACGCCCAGCGTTATTGACCTTCATGGTTTGTCGGAGGGGGCAGGTCAGCTGGCGGTGCGTTGGTGGCTGGCAACACTCGTCACGCCTCAGCTTGGAAGGCGAGCACACAAGTGTACCGTGATCACAGGGTATGGCAAGTCCCGGAAGGAGTGGAGAACCACCAATGTGCAGGCAGCAGTTTTCCGAATCCTAGTTGCTGAGTGGCACCTTTTTGTTGGTTTTGGTTGTTTTCCGGTTGGTAGCCTCCACGCAAACTTGAAAAGTAACGTGCGCTTCCCCAAAAGCTGGAAATATTGATTTCACTTGTTGCATGTCTTAAATTGACCAATCACAACCAGGGCTTCTTTCCGTTTCCCTTTCACAACCATTGAAATAGAACCCCCAATTTTGAGAAAGACCCATCCTGAGGTTCACTGAGCAAACATCCCAAAAAACTCATTCTCGGTTGGGGCAACACCGGAAGTGCTGCGTTCCCTTTTCCACAGTGCAGGTGAGAGGTCCCCTCTATTCCCCTTTTGATGGTTTTTAGTTTCAGATTTGCCTTTCGGGCAAGTTGTTATAGTAAGTGCTTGTTTGATGTTTAGATTGGGAATGTAGGGAACCTTGAGCGAGGATTGTAAAGTTGTCTAAATACGGTCCAGATTCTAAACATATTTGTTTTCTGCGAAGGACTGTAAACGCTGAGGTACCCCTTTGCACGTTGAAGAAGCCATTCTTCTCACTGGAATCTCCTTTTGTAAGGTGGACACGGACTTCTAGGTTGTTCAACGTCAATCCTTAATCCGTTGACGGTGTTTCCCTAGTGGCATCCCAAGACGGGCTAACTTGGGTTAGGGCCCCATCGTCGGCGTTGTTTTTCCCAAACGTGGTGTCGTGAAAAATGGGTGTCGCTTTGGTGTTTTTTATTAATATTTATTTTTTTACAGGGGGAACAAGCAGCAATTACAGTGGTTCCCCCCCTTTGGGTATCGGTTTGGTGCTAAAGGGGGAACAAACAGAAGCCATTCCATTGGTTCGGTTTCCCCCCTGGGCTGGGCTCCCTTTTTTGAGGCTGCTCTTTCTTTTCGGAAGCTGAAAAAGGAAGCCACCACAAATTTCTCTTTTTTTCCCAGGCCCAGAGGGTCCCCCTGTACCTGAGCATGGCGCTTTTTCGGGGTAAAAAGGGGTCGAAGTACCTCCTAAAAGGTGCTTGGATTTTTTGGGATGTGAGTTCCCCCATTTGGGTATGGGTCAAAATTAAACCCCCAGGAAAAAACAGAAAGAACGTTTTGGTGCATCTTTCCACTTACCAGGGTACCTATTTTTGACCCACACCCATTTTGAGACAAACCCATGTGACACTGTGGGTGGACAAAATGTTGCACCACCTAAGAAAATTCTGGTGACTGATGATTCCCCAACGTAAATACCAATGAACGTTGTGGTTTCAACCCTGGAAACCCCAAGTGGTGACGGATTTCGTCCATTCACAGCATGTATCCTCAGCTGAGGAATGCTGCAGGACCTCCAGCTGAAGGTCCGAGTTCTCGAGAATGCCGGACGGCTCCAGCTGGTTCTGGACGAAGGCGACGGGGCGAGGCTGGCGACATCCCACGGAAAAGAAAGCTGCGAAGAGACTCTTCTTTTTTTTCTCGGCGCCCCCGAGTGGCCTTATTTTTGTCGGTGCCCC